AAACACAGCACTTTTGACCTATCGATGCTGAGCTCCCTGCTTAAATCTGTTCTGACTCCCATCACCCTCATCTCAGTACATGCTACTACTGTCTATTTGCTCAGTTGCTTAGGGCGGAAACCCGGGAGTCACACTTCACTCTGCCGTTTCATCCTCTCTTTCATCCCTCCATCTCTAACCATCATCAAGTCTTGCTTCTAACTCCAAAATAGATATCAAGTCCATGCACTCCTCCAGTGGAGACACTGTCAGCATTCTAGCTCAGGTGCCATCATTTGTCACTGAACTACCGCCGTGGATTCCTAACTCTTGCCCTTCCAGGCTCCTCCTGTCCATCTCATTTCCTATGTGCTTCGTTTCTTTTTCCCTCACTGTTTCTACCTATCTCAGTTTATCCTTCTCTCCTCGTTTCCCGTAGTTCTTTCCCCCACATCTCTATCCACCCCTTTTTATGTTTTCTACCCCCTTTCTGTTAAAGCCATCACTATTTCACTCTCATGCTTTTCTCTCCCCTTCAGAGAGCTCTTTTAAAACTGATTAGAGTTGTTTCTGCCTTGATGAAAACTCTCCCATGGCTTCCCGCCGCCCTTAGAATAAAATTGAATTCCTCACCATGGCCTTGTGATGGGGCTGCTCCCTAACCTCTCAGCCCTATCCTAAGCCACACGTTCTCCAAGCTTCAGCCATACTGGCTTCCTTCCATTCTCTGAATGTGCCAAAATCGTTCTCTGTCCAGAGTCTTTGCAAAATTTACACGCCATGAACAAAACTCTCTCTCCCTGGCTAATTCCTACCGTTATTCAGATTTATTTTTTTTTCCCCTAGCAAAACCATTTTTAACCACCCAGTCTAAGTCCAAAGTAGGCCCCTGATGTTTCCCTCTCGGTTCTTTCCTTCAAAAAAATTATGATTTCACGTCGTGTATTTGTTTGTATATTCATTACGTACACAAATGAATGTATTAGCTCCATGAGGGCAGTCACATGTCTGTTATGTACATCACTGTGTCTCTTGCCTGTGTGCCTAGTTCAGTAAAGGATGTGAGTAAATGCTCGCTGAATAAAATGAATGAGTGCATCCCACCTGAAAAAGTAGACACCCTGAAGAGTGATAGAGCCACAGAAATGAGCCGAACTGATCGGGAGGACAGTGAGGAGACAGGCTGAATGGAGCAAAGGACCTATGTTAAATTCTCAAAGACTTCTATTCAAGCAAGAGAATTAATTCACCAATTCCTATCTCGGTATCCTTCCAATTATGATGCGGCTATTTTAAAGCTTTTACTTTCATTTATAACCATATTTATTTTTGTGTTAGTAAAAGAAGTTTTCCAAATTACATTTAATAATTTCTGAGTAGTATTAGCCTTGTTTTCTTATCTTTTTAATTTGATAAATTACAATAAATGAACTATAATTATGTCTCATTATAGTATTGATCATAGCAACTCATTTGTTAAGTGCTGGTCTGTGTCAGGTTCTTTATTTGTGTCATCTCATATAATCTCTACAACAGCTGTACGAGGGAGATGTGGTAACCCATTATGCAGATACGAACACTGGGGCTCAGAGGAGTTAACTGTCCCAGGGTCGTATAGCTCATAAATGCTGGAGCTGGAATTCAAACCAGATGTGTCTGTTGCTTTCTGCTACCACAGCGGTGTCTTTACGCTGAGTTATTTTAGTATCCATAAAAATATGAAACATATTTGGTATGGCTATAGCATTTCCATTTTCTCTATTAGGCAATTACAAAATATTTAACTCAAAATTTTAAAGCCAAGAAAGTTGTTGGGTTTTTTTTTCCCCCCTGAACAAATCAGAGATGATATCTTCTTCAGCTGTTTTTCTAAATGAAATATTAAAAAATGATAAAATGTTTTTTTTTGATATACAGAAAGGCATAGAGATTAGCATAATAACACCTGTGTTCTCACTACTTATCTTGAGGTAAAATCTTCCTGGTACCATTGAAAGGCCTCTGTGCCTTCCCAGTCTCATCTTCCTCCCTCTCCTCAATAGTAACCACTCTTCCAGCTTCCATGTTTATCATGTCCCTGCAGCTCACGTATCTTGTTGACAATCTGGTTGCTGAGCGCTGAATGTGTGTGTGTCCCACTGGCAGTAATTTTACTGTTTTTCTTTTGCAATTCTTTTGCAATTCTTTTCTAAATTGACCCCTGACTTGTACCAGCTCTTTTGCAATTCTTTTCTAAATTGACCCCTGACTTGTACCAGGGCTGAGCCATGTCACCTTGTGTTTTCCTCATCATATCCTGTAACACGAGGGAGGAATCAAAATGGACTGTCAGAGCCTACAGCTATGGGACAAAGGATCAGTTCAACAGGTTGACGTCTTCTTTCGTCATGATGCAAAGTCACATTAGTATGAAGAGCCTTACCGAAAATAATCTTGAGGACCTCATGACTGAAACTTTATAAATGAGTGGGTTACGCCTAAATCTTGTTCAAGTTTCGGGTGGACGAGAACATTCTGCGTTTCTAATGTTTTCTCCCAGGTTTAAGAATGAAGTTTAGTAGTCGTCACCTATGATCTCAGCGTAAGCTCCTCGTCTTGTGACGGGTGCCTGGCAGGGTCAGAGCGCATTTCGTACTTGGTCACATGAGAGGGCTTTTTCCCCACAAACCTAAGGGAAAAGGCTTCCTCAAGTTAGCAAAGACTTAAAGAAGGTTTCTCTAAAAAGACAAAGACAAACACAGAAACAAAATAAAGCCAATACGTTGCTAATGAAGACGTAGGTTCAAAAACGAAGTGTCACCAGTTCAGCGTAATTGGTTTATGAAGGAAAAAAATAGAGACTGAGACCTTCAGGGAAAAGCAGGAAAGAGGGAAATAGGTAATGAAATGAGTGAGAAGCCATCAAGAATTGTGATTGCAATATAGATTGAGTGCTGGGACTAACTAGAAAAGATGCTACTCTTGGGATTAAATGCCTGAGACACAAAAATGGTTTAGAATGAGAATAGTGAGTGACTAGAAAATATCAATAACTTAGTACGTGGGGATTCACCGATGCAACCTCTGCAGTTTATAAAAGTTTTCCTATAAAAGCATATATTTCTGTATCTGATAGTTTCTTATGTATGAAGATAACATTATAACTTTTCTGAGTAGTTATCTGACTATTTTATTAAAGAATTTCTTTTTAAAGGTAATCCAGATGATTCTTTTTGTCATCTGAAAAGTAGGCCTTTCCATTACACAAGAAGAATGATGAAAAAAAAAAAACATGTAAAAAGACTTTTCTGCTAAAGTTCGGGTGACTTAAGGTTGTGCACAAATTCTTCATTTCTTTCATGAAACTAATTTTATTGAATTTGCCATAAAAAGTGCAACTCCTAAACATTCTTGTGATCGCTTCTTTGTGAAAGTGTCACTGTTCTTGAATTGCACACGCCTTATAATTTAGGCCTTCCTTTGTTTTGGGTTGGCAGTTCCAACTGTTAAAGCTCTTGTCTGATTATGTGGGACTCCTTATTTTAATGGGAGCAGCTTCTTTGCTGCATTTTTAAAAAATGGTCTCGGAAACGTCTTACTGTGGATCTTTGTTGGGGACAAAGGATTATTTATGCTAAAGGAAAATGTATTCCCCACTGACTTAGCTCGTGGGAAGCATAACAAGCTCATTAGTAATGCTCAATTGTACTTTGGCCTTTTGCTATGGTAGAGAGAGGGAAAATGACATCAAAAAGGACTTTCTGCTGTCCTTTGCCTTCCCGCAAAGAAAATATGATGTAACATTAGACTTCGCAGTTAGGTTTAGCTCAAGTTCAACTGTGGTATCAGAAGAAATGTTCCTGATAGGAAGGTGGTATGTGTAGTTGGCACTGTGCATGAGGTATGTCTGGTATAACTGAGAGGAGAAAATAACCTTTTCTCTGAAATTGATAGCGTTATAGCCATAGAAACAATTTTATGTGTATTTTTTCTTAGAATCTTTTACTGGTGGTTTACAATAAAAAATAACTATTATGCTGCTATAAGCAATTAAAAATCATAGGTTTTATGTAGTCTAATTCTTCTGAATGTTTTTAAACTTCACTTTTTTCTCTAAAAATACATTGGAGAATTGTATTAACCTAACTTAAAGTTGTGGTTTTGTTTTGTTTTTTTTTTCTTGCAGCTTTTAAGAATAGTCCTTTGGAGCTAAATTATGATGTTCTTTTTGTTTGTTTTATGTTTAGCAAATCATGGAGAAAATAACTTATGAACAATTATTATAGAAAGGCATTGTGTATTATTTCATAGTTAAAATTGATGTTTATGTTTATTACCTTGTCATCTGGCAAAAGAAGCTTATGGTTAAGTTTGGGAATTTATACAAAGTTTAGATGAACTTTCATGATCTCCATGTAAAGATTAGATGAGAGATACTTGACTTTTAATATCAGCTGTTGTGATATTTGTATTTATATTACATTTACATCGTGTTTACAGGGGAAAATTCTGAGAGACTTTTATGTGGCTAGGTTTTATTCCTAATTTTACCAGCCAGCAGCTTCAAGAATTAGTTTGAAGCCAGATGTGTCAGGAATTGGCTACCTTGAAATCATACAGTTAGTGAAAGTTCCCACCACACAGCATTTTCATTTTTGGTTGATTATGAAAGGGGAAAAAAAAAAGAGAGAAAAAAAGAGAAAGAGAGAGATAAGCTTGGACTTTTGAGCCACATCACCCCCCTTCCCTGTATTGCATAACTTCTTTATCCTAGGGGGGAAAAAAAGAATTACTTTGATACTAATGCCAGAAGCTACACAGTAAAATGTGTTTCATGTTTTCCTGTCTCAAATGAGGAGTACTTTTATGAAGTAAGAAGCTAGGAATGATTGTTGAATTCTCTTATAGTCAAATTATTCCACCTAGAAGAAAAAGCTTTAGGTTTTCAGTCAGAGTACAAGCAAATTCCTTGTAATTTGAGGGTTTTAGGGGAGAAGGAAAGCTGCCATTATCTGCATATTAATGTTTTGTTCTCTTTTCAGAAAAGCGATTTCATTTCAATATTGATGACCATGCAGCCTGCAATTCAAGTAAGTATTTTTCTTGGGGGGAAAAGTGTATTTTAAAATTACGAGATTAATATAATAAAATTGTAATAATTAGTAAAATACTAAAATTATGAAAATGTTTTTATCATACCAGTTTTTTAAATTTTAATATTATTATTTTAATATTAAACTTTAATAACAGGAATACTGTATTTTGACTTCTTATTTCTGAAAAGGTTTTAATTCTAGGCTTATATTGAATTTTTGTAAGAATCAAAAATTCCTTAGGAATCGTGGGTCTATCTTATACTGCTCTGGGAAAAGAATTGGAATATTTTGTAGTTTTCCTCTCATTACAATTTAGTACATTTTGTGTACTAAATAAACCACATATTTATGGTTAAAAGGGTTTCAGTGAACACAAATATAAAATTTTTATATTTATATTTATACTTATAAATAACCAATAATTAAAATTTAAAGATGTTTGTTTGTTTTTCGGTGGGGGTAGGGAAGATGGGGACGAGACAAATCAGAATAATCTTGCATTCGAATGATTTCCAGAGTTGGTACAGTGTTTGCTATATTATTCTTATATCCTTTTAAGTTTTCTTCCTTTTGCTATAAATAGAACATGATTGAATATTAAAGATAAAAATCACATCGAAGGCTTACTAGAAAGACACAGGCAGCTAGCTGATAATAAAATTTGCTTTGGAAAATGGGAACGTAGTCAGTCAGATTTCAATTGTGATCTTGGTTCTGCCACTCTGGTTGTGAGATTCTGTTAAGTTATTTTACTTCTCTGAGTCTCTCTCTGCTTCCATACCTCTAAGGTGAGGATAACAGCACTCAGACTTTGCAGGGTAGTTGTGAGGCATCAATGAAATTAACATGCACAAGGTACCTACTAGAATATTGCATAGTAGGCACTTCAGAAGTTTGACTGCATCATTTGGACAACAAAATTATCCAGATGTAAAACTGGAGATTATACCTCTGCACATCTTTCTTTTTCTTTTTCTTTCTTTTTTATTTTTAATTAAGAAAGAAGGCTTATTGAGCTAGCAGTGAGTGATAGCCTAGAGAAGAGAATTTATCAAATGGTTAAGAATAACTCTGCTATCTTCCTTGGGTTTCCTTCTATGCAATGCAGCTATACCCTTCTGCTTTACTAATAAAGAGTTCTATTATTCTGTTTTCCTTTTGGGACTTGGGAGTCTATGGCAGTCTCCCAAAAGGTCTCATTCTTCTCCTTCGGGTCTTCTCAAATCCATACTGAGTATGCTCAGAACTTCTTTATTACTCACAACGCTTTATTATCTCATTATTTCTTTGTGGACTTTTTATTCAAGTCTCAGAACTGTCATCACTTTCATGTTGATTATATTTTCTTGATTCCTTATAGAGTGCTTTTTATAATTGCCACACTGACAGTGTTTTTCTCATTTCTACATTAATGGCCACTAATATTTTCTTAACTTGGTGATTATTTTCATAGTTTTGTTTTATAGTTCCATGAAACCTCTAATCTAGATTCCACAGATCCGTCTTTACTGATTCTTCTCCAACAGCACCCTTGACATCTGTCATGGAAGTTTTGCTTCTCTACCTGATGTCTGTGAGAACTTTTCAGACTTTTTACTTCTTTCTCGGCTAACTATATAAGACAGTTATCCAATTATTCATAGGTGCCTTACAGAAGGGGGAATCCAGTAGATAGCTGTTATCAATTGGTTTCTTAATACTTTAATCCATTAAGATCTTACTTGCCTTTTTTAATGCCTTTCATTCTGATTAGTATGAAACATACAGTTTAAAAACCAATGAACAACAGTTCCTAATCTCTTTCGGGTTATAGGCCCCTTCTGGGAAACTGACGAAGGCTATGAACTAAGTAAAGGGCCATTTGTACTCAGATATAAATTTTTGCCTAAATATAAGCAAGTGTACATATTTAGGTTCATCTATAGATTGCCGATGGATTTAGAATCTCTGCAATGTGACAGCTTTCAGCATGTTTTAGAACAACCTTTATACATGTAATTCTGGTTATAAATATCTGACTTTTAACAATAATATGCTACTTATTGACTAGCCCAGTTTATTTTAGAGTCTTCTGCTTCCAATAATAGGAAAATCTAAATACTCTTCTCCCTAATATGGCAAGGAATTAGAATGACCTTTGTTCATGTTAGCTTCTTCATTTTCACACATAATTTTTTCAAAACTACTCTCTTAACTAATGTACACCTTTCCTTGATAAACACTTGCCTTGGCTTTTTTCAGTTCAGGCAAATGGTTAAACGACAAATAACATTCCGTTGACTATAAGATACTATTGATTGTAAGGTGTATCTCAATTTTGGTGGTACAAAGTCATTTGCTGATATCTATTCCTCAGTTAAACCAACAAATATTTTTGACTGAATGCCATGTGCTAGGTATTATACTGAGCTCTGGGATTACAAACAGAAATAAGACATGCTTATGAAGGGAAGATTTAGATAGTAAATCTTTGCTGTATTCCCTTTGAAATAATTTTAAGAGAATTCAAGGAAATAAATAACATCTTGTCTTTTATCCTAAAACTTTATAGGATCTTCATATATATTTGTATATATGAGTTCATTCTCCAATTCCTACTCTCAATTTCTGGATTAATGTCCCTCCAATGACTTGTTTTGATTATTCTCTGGGTAATTTATTGAGTTTCACCATTCCTCTTGCCTCTCGTGTTACCTATTCATGTTCTTTCTCTGCTCTTGGGATTTTTTTAAAAGCATGTTTGTTTCTCATCAGGAAAGATTAAAAACAGTTGCTCTTGTTGTTTTCTCCAGAGTTTGTCTAGATTAACTATGGTGGTGCTGTGGCTTTTGATTTGGTGTAGTAAGACTTATCTCAAATAAACCTCAGGAAGCGGATTATGTTTTAGGGGAAAAAATTAACTATTTTTAAAAATAAGAAAGGATGCTTGATATTACCTATGCTTATAGATTTTTTAACTTTTAAAATTTTTATTTTAAAGTAATCACAAGCCTACAAACTAATGGGTAAGTATAGTACAGAGATACACATTCTGAACCATTTCAGAATAAGTTGCCAGTCAGATGCCCCATCACCTACAAATATTTTAGTGTGTATTTCTCACAAACCAGGACATCTTCCTTCACAACCACAGTGCAGTGATCAAAATCAGGATATTAACATTGGTACAGTACCACCATCTCATACTTGGACCATAGTAAGACATTGCCAGTTGTCCCATTAATGTTCAGTTCAGAGTCATGGTTATCATTTAGTTGTCATGTCTTTATTCCTCTGGAACAGTATCTCAGCCTTTGCTTGTCTTTAATGACCTTGACCCTTTTTAACATGTCAGATCAATTATTTTACACAATGTCCATCAGTTTGGATTTGCCTGGTGTTTTCTTATGATTAGATTCAGGTTATGCATCTTTGGCAGGAATGTCACAGAAGGCTGCTATGTTTTCTCACTGCATCTTATCAGGTGGCATATGATTTTGATTTGTCCCATTACTGACTGATAGAGCTCACTTTCATCACATGGTTTAAATGCTGACTGTCAGGTTTCTCTACTTTAAAATAACTCTCTTTTCCCTTTGTAATAAGTATTTTATGGGGAAGTACTTTGAAATTATGTAAAAATTTCATTTCTCATCAAAATTCCAATTATTCATTTATTTATATCTCTACAGACTTCGAGTTGTCTATTCAGTGTGTTATTCATTTAAATCATTATTTTGATTCTCAAATTGTTCTTGATTTAGCCAATAGAAGGCCCTTCAGGCTGACTTCTGTGTCCTTTTGGCATGTCCTCATCATTCTTTGAGCACTTCTTTGCTTTCTGGTGAAAGAAATTCCATTCCAACACTATAGGATTCATTCTAGTTTTCTCTCATTCCATATTTGTAGCCTTCTTCTTTGGCAGTGAGAACCTGGTTCCCATTTGATAAATCTCACGTAGGTAACCGATCTTCCATTGTTGCTGCCAGCCCTGCCCTGAGTCTATGCCTTTCTCAGCTTACTTGAGCTTTGACACCCTGCACTGGGATATTCTCCCTTTGTCCCCAGTGGACACCCTCCTTAGATACCTGCTCACCTCATTCAAGCTCTGACCCTCCATTTCAAGTTACCTTCCTGCAAGAACCTTACTTGGTCTCTATACCCCTTTCTGAATTGAGAATTGATAGTCTTTTTTCTAAATAATCTTGTATTAAAAGCTTTCGTAAATTTTTAAAATTTTGCAGGTGTTCATTTGGTAGTTACATTTATGTCAATTTTTATTCTAAACCAAGGGTTGGCTAGGTGGTAAATATTTTTGGCTTTGCAAGTCAGCAGGCAAAATCAAGACTATTATGTAGGTACTTATATAACAAACCATTTCATTTTAAAATGTAAAAACCATGCTTAGCTCGTGGGCTAAGCAAAATCAGATGACAGACCAGATTATTTAGAATTTTTTTTTAGATAACACTTGTATTATGATTTAAAGTTTACAAAATGCCATTTATGCACTCATATAATCATTTATCTATTATTCAACAAATCTTGCTAGGTCCAATGCTAGATGTTACAGAGATATATCTTGTAAGGTAAATATCATTAGCCCATTTTTCAGCCAAGATGTTGAGACTTTGGTTAAGTAATTTGTTGAACTTACTCATCCAACAAGTGAAGTAAAAATATTATTCATTGACTTTTATCCTCTTGGCTTGATAGTAGAATCTGTTCATTGATTAGGGATTCACTTAATTTGCCACAATATTGAAAATTGAAAATGTCTCAAGTACCTAGAATAATAGTTTGCTTTTAGTTTGTATTTTCTGCATCCATTTAATTGGTTGGTGTTTTCTCTAGATGTGGTTTGGAGAAGACCTGCCTCTAAGTCCACGGAGTCCTCTGATCCCCAGACATGGGCCAGGTTTGGCCGATGTTTGTCAGTATGACGAGTGGATAGCTGTGAGGCATGAAGCCACCCTGTTGCCCATGCAGGAAGATTTGTCAATCTGGTTATCCGGTTTATTAGGTAAGGCTTAAAAAGATACTCAAAATGGTGTCCTCTTACTCAGTAAATATTTATTTAGAATCGTGTTTGTTGTCAAGGAGTGCTTGTTTTAGAGGCTGGGGATACTCCAGTGAATGAAATATTCAATGTCTTTGTCCTTACAAAGCTTATACTCTAGTTAGGGAGATATTCCATTTCACCCTGACCTTAGGGCTTGAATAAATAGTAAGGAAGTTTGAGGTTTAACATTTTCACTGATAATGTTAAAATCTTTTTTTAAAGTATATAGGTCTAATTTTCGGATCTATATTTTACTGATCCCTCTGCCCCCTTAATCTTGTATAAGCCATGAGATTCTGAGTGGAATTTATCCTGTAGTTGAAATGATGACTCTCTCTAGGCATTGAGGGGTGGAGGCATATGAAACCTAGGAGGAAATGTCATGTTGGAGAATGTTTGGCATCATATTGTTTTACTTAGTTGAAAAATATGAAAAGTACTCTGAATTTTCTCTGCAGAAAAACTTCTCTTTTTAATATAGAATTTCATGTAGCGTTGCAAGATTTTTGTGAAGAGGAATACACAAAGCTTATCAATGGCCTTCCCAAGATAATTAAAAACACAGCAAACACTCAGTTTAGATATCTGGTATCAGTTTGATTTGGAAATTTAAAAAAAAATTATTGTGTAATAAAGCCTCTAAAGAAGGTATTTTAGAGGTGAAAAGTTGTATTCCCCGGGTGTTTGTTACATTACCATCTTTAATTTTTAAATTGCAACAAAGCACATTTTATTCATAGAGAATTTTTCTTGTGTAAGCAGTAATGTGCAGTGAAGCAAAACTTAACATTAATAGTGAATATTTACATATAAAACACTGATCTTTTTAAAATGAAATAAAGATTCATGTCAGTTTTCTTTATTTTTTTCTGTACTCCTACATCAGATATTTTTATTTTAGTTGACTTCTTTAATTTGACATTCTTTGCTGTTTTAACTGTACCTTCTAAGAGTGAATAATTGTAGTCTAATCTAATATTTGTCTAGTATTTCAGCTCTAATCCAATTACCTTTAATTAAATTTTAACCATATTGTTTGAATTTACTGTTTCTAGAAGCTTAACTTCAAAATATGTTTTTAGGTATTGAAATTAAGGCAGAAAGGTTATTGGAAGAACTCGATAATGGAGTACTGTTATGCCAGCTGATTGATGTTCTTCAAAACATGGTGAAGACATGCAACTCCGAAGAGCCAAGGGTAAGAAGATGTTTGGCAGTAGTGATTTTATACCTTGGTACATACTAATTTATTTATGTACGTTTCTTATTATCTCTACAAGGCTGTAAATGGCCACCCCAGCTATCTGTAAGACCTTGGCTCATTTACTTAATTTTTTTGAGAATCTGGAAAAATAGTTTTACTTGTAAAGTGGAGATATCAACATTTACCATATAGGATTTATTTGCAAAGATTCAGCAAAATTAAATGAGATAATCTATAGATAGTGTTTAGTTTAGTGCCTAGTACATAGTAAATATCCAGTAGCTGGCTCTTCCCAAGAACAATAATATAGGATTATTGTGAGAGTTAAATGAGAAAAGAGTTTGTGATGGTTCCTGGCACATAGTTAAGAGCTGTCGTCATCGTCGTCATCATCATCATCATCATCATCATCATCATCTTTACAGTCTTCATATATTGTCTTGGTGGGTAAATTCTATAAATATTGGTTGAATGAATAATAATTTTTTAGCTAGTTTTCCTCTATTGACACTCAAGTTGTATTTTAAAATAGATAAGGTTTTCTCTCTTTTCATCAAACATGGGATCTGGACAGTCACACAGTGTTGGTAGAAGTATAAAGTGGTATCTTTCTGGGGAACAGTAATATATATCACATTGAAAATAAAACACATCCTGTGATACATAACAGTTCTACTTCCAGGAATTTATTTTAAGAAGAAAATCACAAATTCATAAACACAATTGTGCAAAAAATTAAGAACAACCTAAATGCTCATCAGTAGAGAAGTTGTTAAAAATTAATGACAGTACGTAAACACAGCGGAATAGTATCTGTCTATTCATTAGAAATGACTATTTAAATCTGTTATTTTTTTATCCTAAAAGATGCCTACAACCTATCTATTGTGAAGTATGCATGAGCACATACACACACAAATCAGATATCAGAATAGTGCTTACGCAAGTTTCTGGAGGTATATACCAGGTGTATACTTGTGCCCAGTGATGGCTCGCTAAAATGTGGGTAAGAGATTTCAGTTGATACTAACCACCTTTGTGTTTAGCTGTATTGTTTGATTTTGATTTTTAAAAAATTTTGCAATGAATCATATAATCATATACATTAGAAAAAATCACAAGACTATTTTAATTCTTGAAAATAATAGCAATAGGAAGAATATATAAGGAACTGGTAATAGTGGTTATCTCTAGGGAGAGAGAGAGAGGAACCGAAGGGTAGATGTGGGAGAAAGACATATTATACTCTGCTGTGCCTGTTGCATTTTTTAAAATCATATGCATGAATTGCTTATTCAAATAAAAGTGTAAACTAAAATAAAACTAAAAACTTCCCAGCCTCAGCAGGATTATCTAAATACTCTTCAGGATTCTGCAAAACTTAGATCATCAAATTTCAAAGAACTCGAATTAAGAATGGCCTACTGCTTCCTTATTTGATAGTCTCCTCAGGAAATTCAGAATTATATTTATGAATCTGCAAATAAGGAAGTGAGGAAACATGAGTGTGTCTGTTAATCTCTAACACAGCAGTAATTTTTTGTTTATATTAAACTATGTGTGGAGAGACATACTGTAGAGATGTACTTTGGAATTATTAGACCGTTATTTTTAATTAAAATTTAAATTTAAAGGATTCTTGTATCGTATCATTTCTTAAAAGAAAGAGGTTAGAGGTGCTTTATTCTTCTGCTAATTTTGACCTAGGAATCATTTTCTGAAATATACTTAAAGGACAGTAAAATAAAATAGTTTTGAAGATACTTTTTCCTCCTACTGTTGTATACTTTTTAGTTACATTCAATGCACTGAGCATTTCTTCAGTGATATTAAAATGGATATCTAATGAAAATATTCTTGATGCATTTTTTTAAATTATTATTTTTTTGTATGTTCCAGAATTTTTCAATGAGAAAGGTGCCCTGTAAGAAAGATGCTGCCTCGGGTTCATTCTTTGCTAGAGACAATACTGCAAACTTCCTTCACTGGTGTAGGCACATTGGGGTTGATGAAACTTACCTCTTTGAATCTGAAGGTTTAGGTAAGTGTTCTTGTCATTATTTTTTGTGCTTAATGTTAGGATATTTCTGTATGCTTTACCTCTAATTTTTCTTTCCGAATAAAGACTTGAATGGTACATCTCGTTTTCCTAGAAAAATGTATACTTTAAATATATGTGACACAATTGGAGAATCCAATTCTAATTCAGATATATTAAGCTTTTCATTTATAGTTCAAACTTACATATCTAGAATGCCCTAGAAATGTTTTACTTCCTAAATGAGTTGCCTATGGGAAATTTCTGGACTAATGCTTTGCTAATTAATGTTTTCATTAAGAATTACTCTACCAAGTCTAAATTACTAGTGATTCTAAATTGCTAGTAATGATATATGTTCATGGTGTTTAGATTTACCTTGTAAACAGCAGCTGCCAACTTGATTATCTAAATGAATTAATGTTTTTGACAGTTCATTTGAGAAAGTCATGCTCTACTGAAGAATTATTGACATTTTTTCTCATTTCCTTTAAGTCAACAGATGTATCTATGCAGTAACTAAAGTGGAAGCTATCTGAACTTTAGGCTATATATGTATTTCTTCAAAGCATTTACACATGTATATACATATATATGTGTGATGTACACACGCATACATACAAAACATTTATAATGTTTTGATAGGAGCAGTAGCCCACCCTGGGGAGGGGGTCGTGGGAGTAGTAGTCTGCCCTGGTAGAGAGAAGTATTTTATTACCGACATTGTTTGGAATTGCTGGTTAATGGTGATAATAAAAAGCGAACTGACTTTTAGCTGATTTTAATATTGTTTTAAATTCTTTATTGACCTTGCACATCCTTGTTGCCTGCATGCAGGTAGCCTGCTCCTACTGCTACCTGTTTAGTATGTCTCTTGATAGTCCTATCCAGTGTAGAATAGAATAAAACATAAAATGTGATTGATATTTTACCACCCCCATCCCTCCACTTGCACCCTGCTTTAATCCAGGTGTGCTGATCATTATTGACAATGTGGCTGATTTAATGGCATATACAGCTTCTAGAAATCAAAGGGAAGTGAAAATGCTTTGAGTTCTCTAGTTTATAGTTTATTATTTCTGACAGGTTATAAGATTGTTGTGTATTTCTCGTTCTCAATAGAAAGCATCTTCTTCTGTCCTGATAGTCAGTATAGGACTAAATAAAGCACTGCCGATAACATTAATTCATTTTTAGGCATTGAACTGATGAGCTAATGTTTTTACTTTCTAAAGGTCTCAGAGATGAGCCTCTGCATTTTTTATGTTTTGCTAGGAACTCAAAGCAGTTAAAAAAACAAATACACCATTTAAAGGTACATCTAAGTGTTCAGAGAAACAACTTTAATGAAAATTTCAGCATAAATTCCTTCTGGTATGAATTTTATTTTATTTTATTTTTGTTTTTTGGTATGAATTTTAAAGTCAGATATAGGCCTCTTTGTTGCTTTGTTCTTGGAGTATATAATCAAAGAACTGTAATTTCCATTCAGTAGTCAGTATACATGCAATTTATCACACATACCATTATTAATTAGGGTTCAGAAGTTTCCTACAGATTTTAACTCTAAGAACAGAAATAGAAAGGTAGGTGATCTACATTACCATATTGATACATTTAGCACAAGTTCTAATGATCAGAGTTTTTTTTGTTTTGCTTTGTTTTGTTTTGCTTTGTTTTATTTTTTTTTAAGGATCTCTAAACTGTTAGGCTTAGCATTTAGGTTCCCTTTTAATTAAATTTTTTTTTTAATTGTGGTAAAATATACAGAACAAAACGTACCATCTTAACTATTTTTAAGTATATGAGATTTTTTATTTATAGCATTTAAAAAATTAAGATATCCTTCATGTAACATAAAATTCATCACTTCATAATGTCCACATCAGTGGTTTTTAGTATGTTCACTGTCTTGTGCAACCGTCACCATTAATTAATTCTAGAACATTTCCATGTCTCTCAAAAGAAAACCCATACCTGTTAGCAGTTAGTCCCAACTATGTGCTTCCTGCCTCTATCCTCTTGCACCTGCTAATCTATCTACTTTCTTTCTCTATGGATTTACATATTCTGGACATTTTATATACATGGACTTACACAATATTGTGGCCTTTCGTGTTGGACTCCTTTCAGTTTGCATAATGGTTCATTTATGTTGCAGCATGTAACAGTACTTCATTCCTTTTTATGACCGAATAATATTCCATTGTGTGGATAAGACCACATTTTTAAAATATGCTGTCAGCTGATGCACATTTTGGTTATTTCTACTTTTTGGTTATTGTAATTAATGCTGCTATGAATATTTGTACACAAATTTTTGAGTATGCAGACATTTTTAATTATCTCAGGACTATACCTAGGAATTGTTGGGTCATATAATCTATGTTTATCTTTTTGAGTAACTACCAAACTGTTTCACAGTGGCCATGCCATTTTATATTCCCACTAGCCATGCATAAAGGTTCCAGTTTCTTCAAATTTTCAACAACACTTGTTACTGTTCTATTACTACTACTACTACTACTATTATTATTATTATAACTATCCTAATGGATATGAAATGGTATCTCATCATAGTTTCGATTTGTATTTCCCTAATGACTAATGATGTCGAGCATCTTTTCATGGGCTCTTTGGCCATTTGTATATCTTCTTTAGACAAATGTCTGTTCAAATCTTTAAATTTATTTCTAAGTACTTTTTTCTTCTTGAAGCTATTATAAATGGAATCAGTTTCTCAGATGTATTTTCAGATCGTTTATTACTAGTGTGTTAAGTTCAATGAGTTTTGTGTATTGATCTTGTATCCTACAACTTTGCTGAACTTGCTTATTAGCTCTGATATATTTTTTTCATAGATTCTTTAGGCCTTCCTATACAAAGGACCAAGTCATCTGTAAATAGAAATAGTTTTCCTTCTTCTTTTCCAATCTGGATGCCTTTTATTTATTTTTCTTGCCAACATTCCCTTGCCAGAACCTGCAGTACACTGTTGACTAGAAGTGATGAGAGTGGATATTCTTCTCTTTTCCCTGGGCTTAGGAGGAAGACCTTTGCCATTACTAATGATGTTAGCTGTGGGTTTTTATATATGTCCATTTTCGTAGTTATAAAATTCCCTCTGTTCCCAGTTTGTTGAGTCTTTTTTTTAATCATGAAAGAGTCTTTGATTTTGTCAAGTGCTTTTTCTGTGTCTGCTGAGATAATTATGTATTTCTTTTCCTTTATTCTATTAATATGGTATATTGTATTTATTGATTTTCATATGTTGAACTACTGTTGTGTTCTGGGATAAATCCCACTTGCTGCTGGATTCAATTTGCCTGTATTTCATTGAAGATTTTTATATCTATATTTATAAAGGACGTTGGTCTTTAGTTTCCTTGTGATGTCTTTGTCTGGCTTTGGTATTGGTAATATCGGCCTTATAGAATGAGTTAGGAAATGCTCCCTCCTCTTCTGTTTTTGAAAGAGTTTGAGAAGACTATTAACACATCGTTCTATGCTAAAGATAGTTTAGAATAAAATTGATGTGCTACATCTCTTCAAATAGTGTCTCCTGTCGAAAGAATTAAAATATAATTTAATGTTACTTAAGCCCTTACCGTTTTAGAATTAAAGTGCTATACAAATAAGGGTCCATGGTAAGTTTTCATCTCCTTGTTAGTCTTTTTTTTTTTTTTTTTTTGAATGGAAGATGATAATATAAGGAGAAAACAAAATGTCTTATCTAAATCTCTAGACAAGTAAACCTACTGTCTTCATCATTCTTTTTTTTTTTTTTACTTCTTCCATGCCAGAAATATATTCCCCAATTTAATTTTGCCCCTTAAAATATGTGGTCTTATTTTTTCACAGTTTTGCACAAAGATCCAAGACAGGTATATCTTTGTCTTCTTGAAATTGGTCGAATCGTATCAAGGTATGTATTCCACAATATTTCAGAATTTCAGTGTCAATAGTGAGAACACTCTTTTCTATAAAAAAATTTGATTGGAATAAAGTAACTTAATTTTCTGTTTTTTTCTTATTTTTTCTTTATGTTTTTTCATTCTGTTTGTGTGAGCTACATCATTTGTCAACAGCTTGCTCATATAGCTTGCCTTCATTTACCATTAAACTGTAAAAGCGGTTACTTAAACTTTTTAGATTAGGAATAAAGTAAGAGCATGTAGTCTTTTATCAGTTTGAGGAGAGGCAAACCCTCTAGACACAAAGAGGATCCGATAAGAAAGCCAAGGCTTGGTATCTTCCATACCTAGCTCAGCCTCATCTTTACTCACAAGCTGATTTTAAAGGTACCTTTCAGGATCCTTGGTTAAATATTGGGAGCATCCAGTAACCCAAATATATGCTATGATGTGAAGATTATAATTTGAATTTTGGTAATCTGTGCGGCATTAAAAATCATTTCCAGACATCCCAATGAAATAGTTAGTAGAAGAGTGTCATACAGACTTCATTTAAAAAATAAAATATAACCTATTGTGATATTCAAGGAAGTGCTTGGTTTGGACTTTGCTCGAATGATGAGATCCCTTAATTGGTTTTCAGATATGGAGTTGAGCCACCAGTGTTAGTAAAACTTGAGAAAGAAATTGAATTAGAAGAGACCTTACTTAATACTTCTGGGGCTGAAGATTCCATCAGCATTCCAAAATCATGCTGTCAACATGAAAAGCTGCATGAAGCTGTAAGTAATTGCCACAATATGCTGTGTTAAAGTCATATAGTTTGCCACAGGTGTTGCCATGTTTAAAAGAAAATGTTTCTTATTTAGAATATACACCAGTCCTTATTTCTACTCCCTGGTGAGTTAAAGGCATTGTAAGATAAAGATGACTTTTTGTTGCTTGTGTATGATGAAGAAAGGATGTGTAGTTGAGTGTTGGGGCAAAAAGCTGAAATCCATCATGAAGCATTCTATAGGCCACAAGATTTCATTGGTTCTCTTATTTATTTATTTATTTTTAAGACGGTTGTGTTATAATCTGATTTGCAAATTATAACCATTACTCTTTCGGTGATATTGAGGTTATATTGGCTTTATTGTAATAATCGAGGCATAAGATGATGAACTCGAGCAGTAGCAGCCGGAATGAAGCAAAAGGAACAAATAAAAGACATATTTAGGAAGTAAAATTGACAGGAATACTAATTCCGCTAGGAGTAGAGAAAATCAAGGATGATTTCTAAGGTTTCTAGGTAAATAGTACACTGATTCTTGGAAAATATAAGAGCAGGAAAAGTTGTGAGAGCGAATTGATGTGGTTTTTCTGAACATTCCCCCTGATCGAATATATGCAGATTTGTTAGATGGTGGGTCTCAACTGGAAAGTCTATTTAACTTTAACTGTTCTTCATTATGTAGGAGTTAATATGTAATAAGTTAACGTAATAAGTGATGGAGGTGAACTGAGTATCAAACATTCATTTCTGCTTAGACTGTTGCTTAGAATTCATGGTCTTTTTTTGGATTTTAGTATTTTATGAAGGTGCTTATGCACAAAGTTACTTAAGAAATAACAAGTCATTACTCATAAACATTTAGAAAGTGTTACTTTAATTGTTTTCTTTAATGTAATAAATGTCTATAGTAAAACATTTGGATAGCCTTGAAAGAAAATGTCAGCCTAAACAATTCATTATTGGGCCAAAGTATATTTACGAACATTGTATTATTGATTTATGTGATGACTGTGAATATGCGATGCAGTGATACTACGGTAGGTAAAAAATAAAACTTATTTTAAATCTCATATAACCTAAAATAATAAATAAAAAGGAAATCATTGGGAAAATATTTTATTAAATAGGAAATACAATGTGTTAATTTTCCTATTATATGAAGACCATACACAGTTTGATAAGAAAAGCATTCTCAGTAGATAATTGGGCAAGGATTGTTGTTCACACAAGAGGAAAATACAATGTTGAAACTTGCTGATAATCAAAGAAATCAGATATTCAATTTATCTCATTAGCAAAAATTTTTTAAATTATGAAACCTGGTGCTGGTAAATTCTGGTAAAACTATACTTAGGCATTGCTATTGACAATGGAAAATGATGTAAACTTTTGAAAAACATTGACAAATGGACATCAAGAGGCACAAAAATGTTCCTCTTTTATTTTTATTGTAATTGAAGAGAGACAACAGCATGAATGAAAGTGTTTACTGCACTATTATGTAAAATGGCGAAAAATTGGAAGCAATGTAAATACTCAAATAGGGCAATGGCTAGGCAAATTAGGATTCATTGTCTTAACAGAGTAATCATTTTATGTGGTAATTATGAGGACTATGTAGCAATAAGAAAAGTGTTTATGTTGTGTAAAGTATGTATATATAGACAAAGTATATACTTTGGAAGTAGTTGATAGTAGGTTAGTGCCCTTGCTAATGCTTTTAATTTCTTTAGCTACTTCCTCTAGTGTCATAATGTTAATTATGCAATAGATGAGACCAGAAGTAATATTTCTTATCCACAGTGCTTATTTCTTTTAGGCTCACTCCCTTATTTAGATTATGGGTTAGTGCTGATTTGTACTGCTGAATATAAGTGGTATTTGGATATTTTAAACAAAGAAATAGGTGACTTTTCATGTCTGCATTCTTGTTATGAAAACTAAAAAAGGAACACATTTCTCTAAACATATATGTGCTGTATGAATACATTCAGTGTTTAACCTATACATAAGTGATTTACAGAGATCTTAGGGTCATGTTTAAAATAAGGAACAATTATTACCTGATTCATTATTTAGAGTATTGCTGAAAAGTATACCCCTGCAATTCTGTGTACATGAAACTTTTATGGATAGAAAGTAGTGACTGAAATAAATACCTTTTTTTCAAAGTACTTTGGTTAACTGATGTGTATATGGTTCCAACAACTGTAAATTTTCACCCTAGTTTATTTTTAAGCTGTGTGTGTGTGTGTGTGTGTGTGTGTGTGTGTGTGTGTGTGTGTGTGAATGTGCACATACACCCAGGCAGTGGACTAGATAAACTTGAACTATAACTCAACAGATGATATTTTCATTTAACCAGTTTATTTTAAATATCAAATTCCTGAATTGCTTTTTACGTTTATTCCAGTTTTTACCATTTTATAGATATTTGCTGCAGTTAAAAATTCTGTAAGCTTCCTGAGAGATAGATATAGGTGTTTTTTCCCTGACATTCATCTCCTTAGCAGACTATTGACATAAAATGAGCATTTTTAGAAAAATACGTCTTGAATTTTTTGAAGTTTACCCAATCTTAGGTAAATAAGATATAAATATATCGCTGCCTGTTTTAACAGTAATTTTGGAACAAATCTAGATAGTCCCCCACAATATTAAGTTAGCACAATGTGAAGGGATGAGAATTTTTATGTAAGCTTTATCTGACTGGCCCTATCTTTGATTTGACACACGATGTTAATCCAGTTCTTTAAACAATTCAAGCCTAATGATGAACCCATGTGTTTCCTGTGACTTAATGAATGTGTTTTGAATTGACTTTGCTGTTGCACACAGTCACAGACTTTCTCCAGTAGTCAGTGAATGCACTACAAGCCTGATTGTGCTGGAGAGAGAAAGAGACTCAAGACTTCATCACGGCTAGTTTCATTAGATTAGATAATGTCTCATGTCAATATTTGTCTTTAAATGTTTATCTTTTGAGTTTGATTTTTCCAGCTATCAAATAACCTTGCATTTTAACGTTAAGACACTTTGTCACAGCACTAATTGTTGTTTATTTTTAATCTTAGGTGACACACATTGCTGAAGACCCTCCTTGTAGTTGCTCTCATCGATTTTCTATTGAATACTTATCTGAAGGACGGTACCGACTAGGGGATAAAATACTCTTTATAAGAGTAAGTCCATTCACATACCATTTACACACAGTTCTTATCGCTTTACCAGCCTCTTTTTGCTCCCCTTTTAGTTTTAAAAAATTGGACCAGAGGGTGTTATTAATGAAAGAATTTTACTGTGAAGGAAAAATATAAGATGCGTGCTTTCAGGAATGTATAATAAATTTAGGTAACACAACAGACAACTAACTACAGGATAACTAAGACTGTTTAGACATTGAATATAACTGAGTAAAAAAAAAATCTTCGTTTACCTTAGGTAACTTATTTCATTTTCTACATTTTCTAAAAAAATGATAATTTTCCATTATAATATGAAGAAAAAAACAAACCAATACCTCTAATAAAATTAAATATCAGTAATAAGAAAACAAAATAGAAACTTTGCATTTTGTAAGAATATATTCTTTGTGTCCTAAGTATGAAACCTTTTTTTATAGACACAGCATCTGTGTATGTGCTGACATGCTGAGATACACGATCATTTCCTTCCTTTGTCCCATCTGCAATTGTCTCCTTTGCTGATAAGGAGATTGAAGTTTCACCTGTTGAGCATTTTGTCCACTTCTGATACAAGAACTGTTTTAGTCTTAATATGAAAGTATTTAAAAATATAATTTTAACATTTATATTTCCTTTTATTTCATATATTGTTACCTCCCCACATCCCACTCAACTCACACAGAAACACCTATGCGTACTTTCTTTTAATTAGCTTTCTTTTTAAAGGCAACATGATATAGTGATAGTGTACAGAGCATAGGATTTAGAGTTAAAATTTTCAAGGCAATCTCTTAATGATTGTGCGGATTTGCCTGCTGAATGAATAGGGGCCTGAAATCCAGCTTGGACTGTGCTGGCAGACCCAGGATGTATCTTATCTGCACAAAAGCACCGTTTGGGTTGGGACAGCGTGGTACTTTGAGGCCAGGCTAAGCTCTGTGATTTGGGACAATTTACTTAATCTCTCAGAGCCGTAATTTTCTCATCCGCAAAGAAGAACTAGTAATAAATTATAACAAAGGTTTTGAAAGATTAAATTGATATAATACACATGAAAGTAATTTATTAAATTGTAAAGTACAAGTTTTAGTCATTTTTATCTTTCATAATTTTTTTTCTTTTTTGGGAGGCATTCTTTCTATATGTCTCCATTTCTCCTTTTCTCCCTTTCCTTCCCTCTCTCCTCTTTTATTCCTTTGATATTCAACTTTTTATTGAAAAATATTGCCTTTGTAATTTTGTATATTAGTAATTTGGACTTTTCAGGATGTAAGTTATACGTAAATATCTTCCTTACAAACTAAATGGTACGGCTTGTTAGTTGCATGATTAAATATGGATTAAATTTATTATTTTAACAACATAAAGAAGAGTGTCAATTTATAGTAAAGCTGTTGGCAGATACTCTGAATTTCATAGATCACAGCCATCACAGATCGTGCCTGCTAGTGAATTATAACTATGAACCTTACAGTTTTACAGCTTTATTTTTTACTTCTTTTTTGGGGGAAAGATGCTTCATGGAAAACATGTCATGGTTCGTGTTGGTGGAGGCTGGGATACTCTTCAAGGATTTTTGCTTAAATATGACCCCTGTCGAATATTACAGTTTGCCACACTAGAACAAAAAATTCTAGCATTTCAAAAAGGAGTTTCTAATGAAAGTGCACCTGACTCGCCTGCCAGAACACCTCAGCCTCCTGAGATGAATCCGTTGTCAGCAGTTAGCATGTTTCAGAAACAAAAATCAAAACCCGGTACTCCAGTTGGTGTTCCAAGGGGTAAAGAAAAGCAGGTACACCCCCCAGGCGTGTTGCTGCCAGCATCTTCCCTGAAAGCAGGTAACCTGGGCTCCGTGTCAGTTCGTTCTAAAATGCCAAATTCTCCAGCAGCGTCTTCTCATCTCAAACTCAAATCTTCAAAAGGTGTAACAAAGAAACCACAAGCTCCTTCAAACAACGCATCATCTTCACTTGTTACTTTAAATCCGGTCGGTAAAAGCACTTCTTCACCAGCTTTATCAAGAACTGCACCTGGTGTATCTGAGTCATTGAGAAAGGGAATTTCATCACCTAATACTGCTAAGGCCAAGTTTATTCCAGCCCAGAAGTCAAGAGATGTGCCCAAGTCTCCTCTTCTGCCAAATAAGTGTTCTGGGAAAACTGAATCAAAGCATTTGAAACACAGTCATATATTTTCCAGAGTTAATGCAGTATCTCCTTCAGCTGCACGTTTAAATTCATCATCAAAGTGTCCAAAACTGCCTAAAGCTTCTCCTACTGTCCAGTCCTCAGCAAAAATGACAAAATCCAGTTCCAAAACCGTAACCATAGGTCTAGGAACACAGTCTCAGCCTTCTGATGGAGCCCTGCGACCAGGGGCTGTGGCAGCACAGAAACTTAAGTCAGCCTTGAATTTAAACCCACCGCTTTCTGTATCCTCAGTTGCTCTTGCAAAAGATGCACAGGAATTGAAAGATAAGAATCTAGTTTCAGTTGCCAAAAAGCAGCCTCAGAATAAAAGTACATCCCAGAAGACAGGACCCAGCTCCCCAAAGTCCCCTGGCCGTACCCCACTGTCCATCATGAGTCTACCCCAGTCTTCTGCTAAAATACAGACTATACCAAAGTCAGCACAGACTGCCACTAAAAGCCAGCGTTTGGCTGTAGGGCCTCCAAAAAGTAGCAAAGCCCCAACTTCAACCAGGAAACCACCCTCATCTGGTAAGGAAGCAGGTAGCGGAGATAAAAAACCTACTGCAAATAAAAAAGAAGACGATGACCATTATTTTGTCATGACTGGAAGTAAGAAACCTAGAAAATAAATACAAATGTGTCATTTTAGAAAACAGGAAAGGAAGAGAGTGAATGCGTTAGTTTCACATGGTAAAAGGTTCTCCTATTTGTGTTTGTCTGAATAGGTTCAGACAATAAAACAATAATGTGGGCGTTAGAGGTCGAGGTGAGGGTAGAGGTTGGGGTGAGGAGAGGGGGCCTTAGAATTTATGTATCTGAATTTACCAGAAAGTACCCTTTTGAGGTGAGCAGTTGTTAAATCACATTTACCTGATTTTCACTCCATAGAATCTTTATTAATGTCTGCCCTTTAAGGGAAATACAAAGTCAAATAACACTACTAGAGCTATAGCTACAGTTGCTACATTTGGAATGTGTATTAAGTATAGGTTCACATTTATGTAGAGAGGTTACATACCTGCTAATAGCAGCAGTGGTGCTCTTAATATTAGTATTGCATTTTAGTAAAACAGTAATGGTTTGGCACTTGTCTTACAAAAGGCACCTAATTTAATTTTCTTAGCAGGATTGCCCAGTCAAACAATACCAAATACCAGTGGCTGCTGCTAATTAGCTTGGCGTTATTCTGGGTTTGGTAAAATTCTTATTACGTTTTTTTTAAGCTTTCCAAATCAGAGAGCACTGATTTTTTAACTGGATTATATTAATATTGGTAATATTTTGTTACCAATATTTTTGGTAAAAACCAGAATTTTTCATATATTATTTATAAGAATTTACACCTTGTATTTTAGATGGATGTTGTGCAATGTGAAAGGGGAAACTGATTTAATAGCTTTTAGCATATTAAAAATATTTTTTACTAATGTAATTACCTATGACTGCAGATATGAATTTTTACATTAATATGTTGTTTTAATATCAGAATTACATTTTAACAATCTTAAAATTAAGGTGATAAAGAATCTTAGAATAGTGCTATATAAAATGCTATCATATGGTTATTTTTCTTTAGATAGCACAATACCAGTTTTAATTAGATTCTTCCAATGACATTAATTTTCTTTTATAAATCATGTTGCCTTCAGTTTTTCAATGGCAAGTGAACAGTACACATTCAGCATTTTCTGCTCTGTAGGCAGATTCTCTAAGGAACATATCCAGATCATGTATCACTGCAAAGACTCCATCAATCTAAGATGATATTTGTAAATAATTTGTTTTTTAAGACATTGTGACTGTTTTTTAAAAAATTGTTAATGTACGTTCAGAAATATTAGGGGTATGTTTAATAATATTACAGTATTATCAGTTATCACAGGTTATTATGTTCAATATTGAGGTTTGTATTTCTCTATTTTAAACTATAATGTGTTTTCTATAACTATATTAAACAGTAATGGTTTACACAAATGTGCAATTGTAGAGTAAGCATCTTAAGCTGACTACTAATGTTCCATAGATTATAAAGTAGGAAAACTGTATAGAACTAAGTGACCTTTTGTCTGAGGAATGCAGTTAAAATCAAAGATATATGCAGGCTAGTTTTTGGAATAATGGATGCTTCTCTTAAGAAATGGTCACAAAATATTTGGTTTAGTTCTACTGTTGAGAGACGCCCAGATATGTACATCTTTGGAAAGTGAAGTCAGTGTTCAAGAAATGCTAGAAACGCTAGAAGCTTTACATTTTCAGTGGTCAGAAGTATTTCATGGATCTTTCAAAGAGGAAGAATTTTACCTTCAGGACAGCATTTATTCCGTTGTAAGATGAAACAATACTTCTGTATCATTAACTTCTAGAACTTAAAAAAAAAATAAATGATGTTACAGTGAACCTATGAATCCAAGTAGGTTTTACAATATGTGAACAGTCACTTTTGTGTCGAGAGTCATCAGGAATAAAAGTATTTTATTACACAGACATCTGGCTCAAAAACCAAAAATTGTGTTTTTTTGATAAATTGGTAATTAATATACAAATAGCCTTATTCTTCATTAGTAGGGAATTTGTCTAATTCATGTTGAATAAATTGTTGTTTATGTGTAGCTTACCTTTCCAAAATAAAGATTAAAAAAAAAATAAACAGTTGCTAAAAGATACGTTCTTCAAATATATTTTTAAATGTTGTTAAAGAACTAGTGCCTCTAATATTTTCACAATTTTTAAAATATATTGTTAAAGCTGGAAAAAAGTTTTCATTTCTCCCTAGTGATGCAAGATTGTAAAATATTTTATTTAATATTTACTGTTAAATATTAAGTTTAAATTACTGAAATAACCAGAAGAAATGTCTACTTTAAAAAAAAATGGAGGGTTTTTTTGCTATAATTTGTTAAGATGGCTAATATAGCAAATTAATCTTCAGAGAAAAATGAAATTCTGATTATTTTTACATTGTTTGGGCTTACATTAGGTGTTTCATAAACCTTAAATCTTTAAATTGCCTTGACAGATAAATTCTAACTTTCCTCTCTGCGCTGAGTTTACGATTTTTGATGAGGGAAATTGTTTTGAAAAACATTACTGTTTCTTTTGCAGTCTATCTCTATCTGATTTAAAATCTATTCTTTAAAAGGCTTCAATAACAGGCTGTTATGATACAGTCTTACATCCAGGTTCACAGACTGACTCTTTGAATACAACTTTGTATAAATTTTTTTCTTGTGCCAGCAGCATTTGTATCAGATGTTAACCTTTATTTTCTCAAGTATTAAAATTTAAACATATATATGGAGTTCTCAGTTTGCTTTTTTTTGTGTGTTCTGAATATATTCTGATCACTTGGTTCAAGTGAGACATTAGTATAGTTTTAATTTTATTGCTATTTAAAATGCCCTCCTTATGGAATTTATTTCACTGCATCCAGAATATTACAAGATTGTGCCATTAAGTAACAATATTTGATCTCCACAAGTTGCCGTATCTGCCAGAAGTTTACCTCAGTATGGCTGGACTCATATTTAATAATCTCTGAGATAACAAATAATTTATCAGTTATTAAAACATAATTCTATAGATTGCACAAATATTGTATTCACAGAAGGCTGATTGTAGGACTTTTCAATTTCTGTAATTCTGTTTTAATTTCACAGTTCAATACAGTTAGAATATTCTTGAAAAACTTTTTTCTATATGATCAGAGCAATTATAAAAAGTAATTCAATATGTACTTCCTGCTATGTTTTAAAAACAATACAGAAAAACACCACTTAGGCAAAAATTCTTATTTAATTTTCCTAATCATTTGTGAATGTAAAATTTTTAAATTTTTTATGAAATTTTGGGGAATATTAGAAAATATTAAACATTTGCCAGTAAATTTGGAACTATAGACATTTTATAAAATTTAAGCTGTTTTAGCTATAAGGAAGTTAGTTATAGCACATCATTAATATTGGTATAACCATAAAATAAGATACCATACAGCCATTTAAAATGACATAGATGTTTATTTATCTTATGTATATTTTGAGAGGCAGTGATAAAACATTAATATTGAATATTTCTATATTCGGCCAGGAACAATAATACAGCATGGTATCTGGGCACATGGTATGTGTTATAATAATTAACCTCTTGTGGCTGGCCTTTTAGAATTTCATATAATACACTTAAGAGACCAACTTTCTTAAATGACTTTTGGTAAATTATCTCAAATTATCATATGAAAATGAACAAATACAATAAATAGAATGGATTACTGTTGGATATGACTGTTGAGGACCTCTACTGGTCAAATGTGGCAGTGTTGAAATACTACTCAGTCACTTTTACTAAAACCTATTGAGTCATGGGAGATAAAAAGAGAAATAAGACAGTCATCACATTCAAGAACCTTGGTTTACATAGCTCTTTGCAACTCACAAAACACTTGATGCCATTAACATCCAATTTTCCGAACAATTTCATGAGACAGTATTATTATCTTCATTAGGATATAAGCACTATAAAGACAGGAATTGCATCTGTTTTGTTCACCACTGTGCTCCCAAAGCCTAAATCAATGCCTGGCACATAGTAGGCATTCTATAAATATTTGTTAATAAGTAAATGAATGAATTCTCTTTGTAGATGATGAAACTAATGTTCAAGAACGTTGACAGTAAATATAAAAATACCTACTAGGAATGACTAACTGAATTTTATTTGAAAGATTAATTTTTTTTATCTACTATACTTTTCCACAAACTTAGTTTGCTTTTCATATTAATGTGATAAAGAAAATAGGACTTCACTGGCATCTTTTAAAAAAATCGGCTGGAATAAGACATCCTGGTTTTCTCCTGAGAAAACTCTTGATTTAATTGTTTTTGAATTGCCTTTTATTGTAAATATTCTAAGCTTGAATAGATTTAGAGATTAGCGTATACTTATGTTTTTTGTTTAACATTTATAAAGCGGTTAACTATGTTCACAGTGTTAATCTTATTTTCAATCCTCAGGACAGCGCTCAGTAAATTTGCTGGATAAATGATGAGAGAAAAATCGGTTAAATCTAGCACAAAATACTTATATTAGCAATTAAAATCAGTTTCCTGACAGTGCAACGGAAGTGGATATTGGTCAAAGATACTACTGTAGGTGGCGCTAGAATCTCCACTTAAAGAAAAAACATTTAAAAATAAGTGTCCTCTACGTGAGGTTTCATAAGCTTCTTCCAAAAGGAGTAAATTCAAATTTCTCTCACACAGCCCTGAAAATGTGATCCAAAGTTGTGTCATGTAGATCCCTCCAATAATTCATTGCACCATGCTAGGTGCTCGTGAGCCCCCCAAAAAAGCTGCGGAAGAATAGGTATATTGGAAGAGAGAAATTTAAAATTTAAAATTTTAATCCTAAGCACCGAGGTAAAATGAAGGCAAGTGCCTTTAAACAGCAATTTGCAATAGTTTCCATTTACCTTAAGCATCAGCAAAAATAATTTTTGAAGTTCGTGAAGTCCCGGGTCTCCTCCCAGGTTAAAAACACACCAACTGCTGAGAATTACAGCCTTTGATATCAAGGAAGCTCAAAGAAAAGTTACGAAGGGAGACGAGTTTGGAGCCTTCAGAGGCACTGTTCTCTTGACTTTCCCCTCTCCTTCCTCCAGCCCTTCACCTGACTCAGTTATTCTTTCTATCGCAGCTTAAACGTTACTTAGAAATTTCCAGACGCTCCAAGCCTGTGTTGGATGCCTCCCACTTAAACTTTTCCTGTCATTGCAATGCTCCTGACCGTTTCCCATGAACTTGTCTAAATCCCTCACCAAACCTAGGATGGGGAGTCTGTGTCTCGCTTGTTCACAATCACATCTGCGTTGAATGCCTATGTGTTTATGGAGGAAAGGAAGGAGGGAAGAAAATATCCTTTCACTGATGGAAATAAGCTTGAAGTGAGTCTCTAATGTTGATCCAGCTACCGTGAAAGGACTTTCCCTGAGAAAAAGTCATGGTAGAATTTGAAGGAGCCTGCCCACATGACTTTATTTTGGGAGAGGAAAAGAGAGGGCGATAATAAGTGTGGCCTCGAAGCGATGGATCTTTTTTGGTCACATTAATACAACAGAGAATGCTGCAGTTTTACAGAAGAAAATTTTGGAAATGTTCCAACTTTCCAGATTTTTGTTTTAAAATATTTATTTTCAGGCTTGTGACCAGATACTCAGAACATAATATATAGACTTAGATTAGCTGCTACCTAATTCAGTCCTCACGTTGAACGGATCGGGAAAACTCAAGCAGGGGGTTTGATAGAACCTGTTAGCTGTAGCGTTAAAACCAACCTCTGATCAGCAGAGTGACGTCAAAACGATAAGAGGTAGTTGTCCCAGGGGTTATGTGGATTGTCCCAGTTGCTGGCCCCTTTAATGGGTGCTAAATGCACTGGGTCCAGCCCAGCAGACTCCTCCTAGTACCGGTTTGTGGTTGGTTTTAAAGCAATCTATTCAACCACAATGCAGTGATACATGTAGCAATTTTTCTGAGTGCCTACTCTGTTACCAGCCACTATGTTGTGTGCTAGGGATATAGTGATAAGACTGGCCACTGCTCTCCAGGAGATACAATCTTCATTCACGTGGTTTAAAAAATGCGATGTGCTTTTTGACTGTAGCCCATTCATTTCTTTCTTTGTGATTTATTTTACCCATGGAATAAAAACACCTCGATGAGAACAGCTTGTCTTTTCTCATATTACTTCAGATGAGGAGCCCATAAAATGAAAAAATGGTGTTTGTTGCTGAGTCAAGAACAAGTCATTTACCGCCAATTGTTACTCAGAAAATAAAGCAATAAGAATCAAATTCTAAACAAGGGATTAGGAACAGGAAGGAATCTGAGCTTTCTCTGGGTAAATCATTACTTAAAAGATCAAGAAATGCACATCTCTAAAACAAAGATGTTTCTCTAACTCCATAGATTATTTCCTATAACCTGGGGATTGATCCCCTTCCCCCACTTCCACTAAGCCCCACGTCAGTCTTTACGAGTGCGCCACCTAGCCGAGATAGATGTCATACCAGCTGCATATGGAAAGACTGGTCTCCCTCCAGCTTTCTCAGCTGTGTCAAAGGAGCACGGCTTTGAGAAGATGTTTCCTGTGGTTCGACATCTCAGTGCCTTGTCCTGCTGCCCAGCAGATGACAGAGGAAACTAGTCCTGTAAAATGCATTGTTGTGAATCACTCAACACCTTGTGGGCCTTTGAAGCATCTTCCTGACTGGCCTGTAGCCCCAAAGGACCCATAGCCATCTTGGGAAGACCTAGTATGTTTGGTTGCAAAAGACAGATTCACTTGGCTTTCTTTAATCATGAGTTGTTCTATGGATACACAAAACCAAAAGGACAAGAATCTGGCAGCAACCCAGAAATTTCTGTACAGTGAATCTCGCAAAAATTAGAACTAGAGTCATTCGGCAGCTCTAGAAGCTCAAGATACAGGTAATTTCATCTTCCTTCTGTAGCCCGAGTTCCCTCCCCTTCACTCATGCTTCCATGAACATATCCTAGCCAGCCTCCAAGTTTCTGCTTCTCTTTATGTGTTTTCTTGCATCTTCAAAAAAAAAAAAAAAATCCTATTAGATAAAATGACACAAGTGTATGTAAG